GATAAGTGAATGAAGTAACCTCTTTCAAATCCCTCCCGTTGATGGTGATTGGCGCTGGATGTTGCTGCTGTTGTTGTTGTTGTTGGTTGGTTATTTTCATAACCTCCGTCTTGTCTATGTTCACCTGGAGTCCTGTCTTTGCTGCTTCTTCGACCAGTTTGTCGGGTTTCGCTTGTAATTCTTCGATTTTGTGTGACATCAAACATAAATCATCCGCGAAATCCAGGTCTTCTAGGTTCTTCACGTCGGTCCAGGATATCCCTGTCTTCTCGTTTCCCACTGTCTGACGCATAATCCAGTCCACCACAATTAGGAATACCATTGGTGATAATAAGCACCCTTGTCTGACTCCTGTGTTTACTCCAAACGCCTCGCTGAGTTTTCCGTTGTGGATCACTTGACATGTGCCGTTGTCGTACAGCTGTTGAATCAGGTTGATGAATATTTGGGGTACGCCATAGTACTCGAGTAATTTCCAAATTACTTCGCGGTCAACGCTGTCGAAGGCCTTCTCAAAGTCTATAAAGTTGAGGTAGAGGCTTGATTGCGACTCCATGCTTTGTTCGATGATGATGAAGTTAGGTTTACTGTCACAGAATAGCAAGAACTCCAAAGCTGTCCAAATCAATACCTGGTAAAAACTTTGCCAATTAGTAATTTATAGTCAAATATATAAATAATGTAAGTGTAGAACTTGGATAAGTTTATTTTAATAATTACACAGTGATGAAGTATTAATAACTGGATGACAAGGTTTCGAGAATAAATTATTGCCAGTCATAATCACATCAATTTAGTCACACGTTTTCACAATTTGTCTTATATATATTTTCCCTCTTTCTGTCTCTTCAACTTCCCTTTGTTGTTTGTTGCCACTTTCCATATCTCCGGTGTAGGCAGCGTTGCCTCATTCCTACGACTTCGATTTTTCTTATTCCTTTACGTTCCCAGTGAATCATTGGGCTTCAGGCTAGAGCTTTGGAGTTTCGGTAGCAGTGGTGTTCACATTTTCGGGATGGGATTGCTAGCCTCATGCCCAACCTTCCCTCTTTACCAGTCTTATTAGTGGCTTAGAGAGGTAAAGGAGTGAGTTGGGTGGGGATCCAACCCCGGACCACATAGATGGTTGGTATCATTCTAATTCCACGTGTGCGGTGTTGAATCGATAAACAAAGTTTCAGTGATTAACCTCTCTCTCCACCTAACTATATTAATTTTTAATACTCTCACCCTGTCCGACCCTATTTTCTGATTACATGCAAGTGAATGTGATGCAGTGGCCGAGCTTTTTTCTGTTATTTAACTTAGCAGGGTGAATCATCCTATGTATAGCCAAACTTTTATGTTCCAATAATCTAGTTGACCCCGATCTGCTAGTTTGACCAATGTAATTGACTTAACTAACAGTCCTTACATGGTATTTAGTAAATTATATTAATTTTCCTAATTGGATCTATTGGGTCCTTAAGCCGACAAAGTTTATCTCTGGGAGAGTTGGTTGATTTAATTGCCACGTTAATTCCAGTGTCATTGAGAATCCTAATTAAAGCCTCTGTCGTCCCTTCTTTATAAGGCAGTACTATGTAGAGTCTTCACCTGGCTCCAAGTCTGCCGACACGTTTTCATCTCCTCTTCACATGACCTCCTCCAAGTCACCCTTGCACTGACGACCAACTCGCTGCTTCCCTTTCGGGTTCCACTCAAGGGCTTGTCTAGTGATGTCACTTGATGGTTCCTAAGAGTATGGCCAATCCATCTCCATTTCCGCTACAGTACTATAGAGGCGTTGAATTCTATATTATTTTTAATATTTTCGTCATTTTTATTCCTAATCTTAGTTTTCATTTGGTTCTTCATATGTTTTCAAAAAAAATTCTGGTGGGTAGTTATTCACTAGTAATATTTTCTTTATTTGTTTGATTTCGTTATTTAAATCTTTTGGCCTAATAGTTAGGCTCTTGGCTCGAATATAAAGACATTTAACTAAACCTACCTTTACCGATTTTGGAAGGAATTAAAGTCTAAGTATTCATTAGAGTGTGTCAGTTTCCTGTAAATTCTAGTATCTAACCCACCATCTTGTTTTCGTCTTATTCTACAGTCTGGCATGGTCAACTCACCCTGTTCATTTTCTAATTCAGAAGTGAATTGGATTCCCTCTAATACTGATTTTATATGTGTAAAGTACTGAGAGATATGTTCTGATCTGGACACAGTGAATGTATCATCCACATATCTCTACCATAGCCTAAGAGCAGGATTAAACGTTCTAAGTGCTTTGTGTTCCCAACTATCCATGAATATGTCTGCCACTCTTGGGGATATTGACGATCCCATTCGTTTGTTTATATTCAAATTCCAAAATAAACTATATTATCACTGAAGCTTTGTTTATCGATTCAACACCGCACACGTGCAATTGGGATGGCGCAACTCCTATACAGGAGATATGGAAAGTGGTAACAAACAACAAAGGGAAGTTGGAGAGACAAAAGAGAGAAAATATATGTAAGACAAATTGTGAAAACGTGTGACTAAATTGATGTGATTATGACTGGCAATAATTTATTCTCGAAACCTTGTCATCCAGTTATTAATACTTCATCACTGTGTAATTATTAAAATAAACTTATCTAATATGGAAATATCTAAATAATTTATTACCTTGGTCACTACGTGAACGTGGCAGCGCTGCAATAATTTTCCTTATTAGGGTATATCGCAAAATCACTCAATTTTATGGATTGCTTAAGACCGATGTATGTGTTTTCATTCACGAGCCAGAACAACTAAATTTTGAGAATAATATTAAAGAGACTGTCTGAATACTATGACTGTGTTCAAACAAGTTTCCCATCATGGAGTGAATCCAAAATTTGCTGAAATATGTTGTAGAACAGATGAGATACCCACTAAACTGTGGCACCACAGTCAGTTTGTGGCACGATGAATAAATCTAATCTAATTATTAGTCAGACTACCTGGGATAGCCTCGGACTGAGAGACTGTTATTTATCTAGGTCAAGGCAAGATACGAACCACCGATCTCCACATTACCAGCTCAAACACGTCAGCTAAAAGACCCCAATTTTGAGTCAGTCTGATTCTGGTAATGCTGATATCAAATCCAGACGATTATATAACATAAGACATCTCCAATAACTAATTACAGTGCATGTGTTCTGACACCAGTAGCCACTATCTGTCATCACTGTGCAAACATTTTGACAGTTTCATTTTGACCTGTTTATGCTCTTCGTAATGGTAAATATAAGTGAAACGTGGTTGGTTAATAAGAGCAAATCATTTGTGGATCAAACTGCAACGCCACCTGTCGTCATCGAACAGATTATAGAATGGCAGTCAACTCTTAACCTCAACTTCACCGACTTCGAAAGTGCCTTCTATAACGTTGACCGTAAAGCAATTCAGAAACTGACACAACACGAAAGAGTTCAGTGCCATGAACATAAAGTCATATGTACCTAATTCAACATGTATCTGATCATGCCACATACCGAGTATATCACAATGGAAGGCTCAACGAAACCTCTGAAGTGAAGATGGAGGTAAGAAAGGGCTGTCTACAATCACTGATGATACATCTGATTGTGGTAAACTAGATCGTGCAACAGACCATGGGGAGCCAGAAGACTGATAAGAAACTTCTAGAAGGCCTGGACTTTGGACATGACGTTTGTCTAATTTCACACAAACGTGAAGATATACAGGTGAAAAACAGCCAATGAAAACAAAACTTCCAGAAGACAGAGGTGATGAAGATACCTACCTAACCGACAACAACAATCACCATCAATCAGAGAAATTTGAAGGAAGCCATTTCCTTCACATCCTTGGCTGAGCAGAATCATTACAACCATAGGCGATAAAGAGGTCAAAGCTAGCCAGGATTGGGAAAGGCAAGACAATTCTTCATCACTTTGAAATTAGTATAGAAATCTGCTGAAATCAATATGAAGAACAAAATTCGTACTTTCAACATTAATGTCAGTCGAATCAGTTATTCTATACACTTCAGAGACTTGGTGCCAAAATCGCCGAAAGCATTCCAAATGGGCTACTGAATGCAGACTTTCATCAACAACTGCCTTTTCTCCATACAGAAAAGATTAGCAACAAGAGACTTTGCTAACCAACCAAATGAGAATCTACTGTCCAACAAGTTTACCGAATAAAATGGAGATGGGTAGGACATATACCCAGGAGACCATTGTTGAATGAAATCATGAGCAAGGCAGACCTTCAATTTGAGCCTGAATGGAAAAAGACGAGTTAAGCGTTGGCCTCATTGCGAAGTGAAGAGTAGATCAGGTGAGAAGGCAATGAAAGCCTATGGGCGATCATATAGCCGCCTAAAAATGACTACAGAGAAGCTGTTGGAATGCAAATGAACTGTTGAAGCCCTATGTTCCACTCAAAATCTAACAGACAAATAATAAACGATGATAATAACTACCTGTGCGTCAGTGGCACAGCGGACGAATGCTCACCAACCACACAGGTGGTTTGGGGTTCGATCCCCGGCCACCGATGCACTCCTTTACCTCGCCAAGCCAGTATAGTGGCTACTGGTGTCAGAACACAAGCACTGTAATTAGTTATTGGAGATGTCTAATTTTATATAATCGTCTGGATTTGATATCAGCATTACCAGAATCAGACTGACTCAAAATTGGGGTCTTTTAGCTGACGTGTTTGAGCTGGTAATGTGAGATCGGTGTCGTATCTTGTCTTGACCTAGTTAAATAACAGTCCGAGGCTATCCCAGGTAGTAGTAGTACTGGTAAAGAGGAAAGGTTGGGCATGACGCTAGCAACCCCATCCTATAAAAAATAATCACCACTGCTACAGAAACTTCAAGCCTCTAGCTTGAAGCCCTATGTTCTACTGGCAACGTAAGGGAATAAGAAATAATTATGACTACCTGAAATAACGTGACCCCAAATGACTGCGAATGTAGAACACTGACGAATAGTATTCACTTCTTTATTTTGATTCAGAAAGCAGGATGATGATGAAAATAATAATAATAATGGTCATTATTACTTATTATTATTATCAGAAATGAGATTATACGTTCTGGGCAGTTACTTGTGTCATGAAGAGAGACAAAAAGAAACCACTTCCAACAGTTTTAAACCTAATCAGTTTTTCAGTCAGTCAATTGCTAAAAAGTTAAATAATATTAGTAACAATAAATAATATGGCATAAAAAAAAGGAAGAAATGGATAAGAGCAGTGTAATATGCATTGTATAAATATTTCTAGATGATATCCTGGATAAGGTGAAAGGTCAGTAGATCCAAAAAAACAAAAGAGAATTACCTAACATAATTATGTATATATAAAAAGCTAAGTAGAAAAAGGAGTATACAAATTGTTAAAAGTAGTAATGAGTAAGTAAGTAATAATAATAACTATATTAATAATATTAATAATAATATTAATGTCATTATTATATTATTTCAAGTTAGCAAAAAGGAAAGTATTCATAAAAAAAGAGAACTCAAAGTCTTCACAGCTCGGATATGCACAGAGACAGCATTGTACTGCTCAATAGAAAAAATGGTGAGATAACTATGAAGTATAAAAGCGCCTTTTTTTAAAAAAATTCATTAACAGTTCACCAAATGAAAAAAAAAAGATAAAATACTGGAGGTAATTTTGATGTATAGATGAGTGTGTATGACAGAGTAGTGTACGCATGCATTGTATGAGTTATTGTGTGTGTGTGTGGATGTGCTGGTGGATATGCGCACTTGCTTGTAAGCACACCACATCTCCATTGTTCTTATTTGAGATTCTAATATGACAAAGATGAAAGTAATCGTGGTGGCAATAGCATTAGCATTAGTAGCAGTTGTAGTAGTAACACACGCGGCCGCCTTCAAAACATCTACTACAATGAAATTATTATTCCAGTTTTGATATGAAGTGAATGCGGAGAGAGCCACCGTATGTTCCGCCAAAACAAACAAAAAAACAAGAAAGAATAAAAAAAGAAAAAAACAATAGTATGCACAAAAAGTGCATTGATATTGCATTGCTAAAGAAAGAAAACACGAGTGTAGTTCTCCCCAATGTTTCACATTTATATACTTTTAATTTTCTGTGATTGCCACTAACTTTACATAATTAGAAGGAAATAATCCAATTTGTCCGTGAGCATTTTGACCAAGCCACCAACCTTCATCGATTTGTTCAATTCGAAATAATTCCTCACCATAACGAAAGGATAATTCATCGTCTTCATCTATGAAAGAAAGACAGAGGAGAAATATAAAACAATGCAAAAAAATAATTGAACACAATAATTGTTGAGAAATACTATCTACTACTGATTGATTGAAATGAGTAGTTTCATATCATTCATACCGATTTAAGTAGTGCTTGATAGATAACCAGCCAGATTATCAAAGTGATCTAAACATTGGGCTGGCGTTTTCACTCGTTTGCGGCTGACCTGATCCACAAGCTCAAACAGCGGAACCGATTTCTGGATAGTTAATTGGGCGAATCGGAAATTTTATAAATCAAATTCGTAGGTGGTATTTCAACACAGTTTCCTATGGAGATAGAAATGATTCAAATCAGAATATATTTGTGACCTGCTTCATACCATAAATAGTGATCAAGAAAGTAAGGATAACTGCATAAAAACTATATACTACTGAGAAGGGAAATTTTTTAAATTATCGTAACATCACCAAGGTCATGAGTATTAGGAATGAATTATCGTCATTTCTTCCAAATGTCTGGAAAGTTTTAAGTATTCTTAACACAAAATTAAATCAACTATTCTTGTTAGGTCTTACTGGTTATGAATTTAGAGATATACAGAAATCAGTGTCACTCCAAAATGCATAACATGACGTTTAATGAGATATACACTATCATCAAGAGTGATACTGTTATTTCCCACCAATCTATGATGTAAGAAGTGTATATAGAGAGTGGGTCAGTCATTCATACAATAAGTATTGTAGTTCATGAAAATATGTTTGGTGTGTGGGCGGATGTTAATTTCTACCTGCCCACATTGTGAAGTAAGAAGTTGCGTGACAGAGATAGTGGGGTTTAGAAGTGCTTCGGCTGAAAATTGAACTCTGTTAGCCTACATGGTTAGAGGACATTCTACAACTGAACCTCCAACCTACGGGGAAGAGAAGATGTTTGTAGGATATACAGTTATTCACAGGGATAATGCAAGTAAAACAAGAGTGGTAAAATGAATGATTCACTACCTATATTCCACATTTAGAAAATGCACCTGTCATTGTCAAGAATCAAGGAATAATGTGCTGTAACACTATAAAGATAGAGTCTACAAACGATATGCAGATACTTTGAAGTGATTGTGAAGAATCAGATCTGACCCAAATGTCACAGAAAAACAGTAGAGTTGGTTATCGTCTTTACTGCAGGTTAAGAATTCGCAGAGGTGGTGTGTTGTCTACAGGAGTGCTTATAAAAAGACCTGTGTGCACAAATCAGAAGTTTAGCACATATTAACCAACAGCATATTTGAAGGTATTAAATTCACAAGGGAAGAAGAATTACAAAACAAAATTCTTTCCTAGATGTCTCAGTCAGTAGTAAAAAACACAGGAATGCAGGAAATCAACTCACACAGACTGAATAAATACTCACCTACCACAGTAATAATCCAATGGCAAACAAGGGAAACTGTGTACAAACATTGTTCAAATGAACTAAAACAAACTACAGTACTCCAGTCCTGAGTAAAATAGAGGCAAAGTATCTATCAACTGTCTTCAAGAATACTGGATACTACTACAAAACCTTTATACTCAAATCAAACTACCAGCCAGAAACTATCCTCAAAACCACAAGAAAATTCATCCAACCATATATCAAGAATATTTCTGAAATAATGGCTAGAATCCTAAAAGTATTCAGAATAGATATAACACACAAACCAGCACAATCACTTCAATATAGCGAAAATATTCATTCAGACATCTATAGAAAACAAAATAATTGAGCAAAGAATATCCTTTTCGATAAATTCCTCTTCTGGCTCTACAATTAAATATATATGTTTATATACATAGAATATTCCAGAATAGTAGTCAATAACAATATTAGTGTTTTTTAAATAATATCGATTTGTTAAGTAAGATCAATGGAATTACAGTTCATTAAAGATGCTTAAATTATAATAATAAAGATATAATAGCAAATAGAATATCAACTGAAATTAAGGAAATTTCTACAAAAAATTGAGGATCATTCGAATCTAGATGGCCAAGGTAAGGACAATGTCTGAACTAGCTTCTTTTGGACACATAAATTAGGCTTCTTAATGTGGATCACTTCATTCAATAATATGAAGAACAAAAGACCCAATAGCTTAAGAAGACAACATTAACACCACCTATAAAATAAATTGCATGAATTTTGATGAACCCTATATTGGTTAAAGTGGGCGTTCCCATAGATTCTGAATCCACGAACACAAACTAGCTGTGCAAAGATGCAACATGCATTCTGTCATATCGATGCACTTTGGATACCAATTTCACTGGGGGAAATGTAGAAATTTTGAATAGTGAGACAGCGAAATTGTCAGGGAATTCCAAGAAGCCTGATACTCAGTTGAATCAGCGATTAAGAGACACATCACTACAGATCAAATTTACCAAATAATAAAGAATAAGTCATATGACAAAATGATTAAATTCCAAGTCAACAAAAAGCAATCAGTGCTGAAACAAATCAACAACTAAACGCAACAACGGAAATGCAGTTATATCATGCATGGAGGAGAATTAAAGCTTGCACTAGAAGAAAAATGAAAGCTTCGCAACTACATCACCCAGCTCAAGGAACGCCATCACATAGCAAAAAAGTTTGTATACGTTCAAAAATGAAAACATTTCAAGTATCGGTCAGTAGATTGTGCGGCCTGCTTGAATCACTGGACTACCGAAATTGCTTTCCACCAAAATGCTTAATTTCATCTGGATTTATCATTGTTTTAATCGTCCAGTTATATCAAATGACCTATAGATGAACTTGTGCGCTGATTTTAACTTGCTTCCAAGTAAACGATGTGCAATTCTTCAACAAAATGAAGATTTACTTCAGATTATTACTTTACATGTAAATTCTGTATGAGGAATAGAGTATTTTGGAACTAGATACGCTGAAAACTTTTGTGCCATATGTTCGCATATTGTCTGAAATAAAGCTTTATTATTATTAGATAAGACTAAGCAAACCAGTAGAAATCATTCTGTGTAATAATTTCTCACAAAACTGTGTATTACTGCCCATATTTAAAACAAATAACACATTTAACATTCACAGAATATGAAAATGTAAAAAGGAATGATAAACTTACTGGCCACATAATCATACAAGCAAACCGCTTTAAAACCAAGATTCTCTTTTGTCGCTTGTTGTACTGTACTCATTGGTGCTGAAGGTGAAGAGGGTGACACAATCTTTGTAGATGAATCCTGAGGTTGAACTTGATTATGATGACTATAGTTATTAGTGTTATTATTATTATTGTCATTATAGTTATTTGTATGTTGGACACTGTTACAATGTAATTGATTATTTGATATATGAACTATGGGAGATAATGAGAGGGGAGGTGATGACAATGGTTGCTGTTGTTGTTGTTGTTGTTTCTCCTGTTGTTTTTGTATTGATGACTGACTGAAATTGTTCTGTGATGAACTAATAGAATTTTGATTGGATGAGCCATTAACAGCATCCGACTAAAAACAGGTAATATAACAAACATTAAGCGTGGGGTAGTAAATTAAGAAACAATCAGATATTTACATGCATGGAAAATAGTAATGATTTCTAATTTTTTCCAAAAATATATCTAACGATCAAAAGACAAAGAAGTAATGTATAGCGATACTGCTAAGCACTGTAGAGCAGTTACTGGATGGCGCTGCAGGTCGATATTTGACCAGTAGTTGTTGATGAATTCCAACGTTGCTCATTGACTCAGAATTAATTTCATTTTAGTAAATACGCATTCCTTAAAGTTGGCTAGGTCGCATTTACTCCTAAAGGACTAGTATACTTGAATGTGAGGACGGATATGCTACAAAATAAACTAGAAACACTTCAACCGTTACTTCTTAGGGATTCGACTGGTTTCAAGTATGACCACGGAATGATATCAGTTAGAGAACCATTGCAAACCGAGGAGTATTTTGGAGAGCACGTAGACCACTCAGCCAGTGGAATGGAATCCAGTAGCCTATGAATTCTAACGTCTGTCAACTCGCGATTTCCCGAGCCACCTCAACAGTCCCAGTGGCTGAGTGCTTGATGAGCTCACCTTGTAACCTGTTCAGTACTCCCTGGTTTTCAATGCTTCTCTAATTGATAGGAATCCGTGATCAAGTTTGAAAAGACTTTACTGAGGAGAAAAAATAACCAATAAATATACAGTTACTGTTATACGCTAAGATGAATTAGTCCCATGGATTTACATATGACTTGTTACAGTAAGCAGAAAACTAAACAGTTACTTAATATAGATAGAGACTTATCAGAGATATCGTTTACATTAACATTTCGTACAATTTTCGAGATATCATTCTGATATTCGATCATATTTTCTACTGTTGACATGAATAATGGCCAATATTAGACTATAAAACTAAGAAGCTGACTCTTTTTGGTGGATAAGATAGTCTTTACGTCTGACTAAAGCCTCATTTACTACGCAACATAATTGTGAGCTCATGACATATTATGAAACGATATTAAGTCTCTGTTTTTAAGCGAAACATTCAAACGATACAATTTTTGAAACACATACACACACAATGATAGTACACTGAATGGAACAATTCAGAAATCTGGTTGTTATGAGTACCGCTTTATAATGTGAGTGTATGAACGTATGCTACTCTCTATCTGGTCTCTCAGTAGGAATGACTGGTTTCAACACAGAACGTTGCACCAATGTGCAGCGGTTTGAGTTGCCACACTCCCTCCATGTAGCACACAAAGCTAGATAAGAACGTAAAAAATTCAAAATAGAGACAGTAAACAGATATATAAAGCAAAAAGAATAGTTATATTGAAGAACCATATAGTTTTATTGGGTATTATAAGTCACAAGGAGTGGATGCATCTACACTGTCATTGAGAACGATTTTGAGCCATATCACTGATTGTCTACAGCCATTGGTTTTTGCAGTCGCGAGGACCCCAACCGGCCAAGCAGTCTACACCTCCTTACGTGGCAGAATTGAACTAACTGTTGTGGATTTGTTTGACTGATGAAGCCATGTTTTGGTTTGACCACCACTAGCTCTTTTCCAACCTGATTTTATGTCAGTCAGCTAACATTACCCATCGAGGAAGGCTTTGGCTAGGCATACGTAACACATGTCCTAACCATCTCAATCGATGTAACTTCGCAGCCTCGTCTATTGATTTCCCCTCCTTACCTAGCACTCGATCGATGCCTAATCTCAATACTGCTCACCCTATTATACCGCTTCACACGGGAGATAGAACGCAGGCATCCATGATCAAGGACAGCTAGCCTTTTCAAGTCTACTTTCAATGGCCGGGTCTCACAGCCATAAAGGAGGACAGAGCGGAATGCTGAGCAGTACACACGCCCTTTGGTCGATAGCCGGTAAAGCGAAGTTTAAATCCAATCTAATTCGAGTACACATAGAATTGGTTGACAGATGAAATCCAGTAACCAATATCGGGACAGGACAGTACAAGACATTTTCTTAAGCAATTTAATTATAAAACAAACCATGAGAATGAATATTTGTGATGAACAATTTATGTAATGGCTATAAGTTTCAAGTGGTAAAAGCCACAAAAAAACAAAAAACAATCCAACTTTATGATAACACTAATTAGATAAAGTGTGCAACAAAATAAATAATACAAGTCTTATGTTTTGCATAAAACTTATTTCTATTCACAATTAAAAACAAAAGGACTAATGTTTCTTCTTTTTCTTTGTTTGCTTGATTATCGGGACTATAAGAAGAAGTGAACGACTACAATGAACACAAGTTAGCTTGTTTTCATTATGCCTAAAAGGATATTGATTCAGTTGAACAAATCTGCATTAAGTGTGACACTGTTATCTATTTCAGAAATTCTGATTTCTTCTACTTAATTGTCAACATGCATTAGTGCAAGTAGAAGGTCGTAACTGTATATACTAGTAGGATAACATATCTGTTACAGAAATGTGTTGAATATTAGGATGTTGTTCCTTGGGGTGAAGAGCTGTAGACCTCCTCCATTCTAACTTCAGAGTAGTGAGTGTCTGTTTTATTTTTCCGCGAATCAGCCGACTCTGATATCCTTATTCATGCCATCTATAGTTGTAACAACAATATACAGTCATACAAGTGAAAGAGAAAGGGCACTGTGTTCGCTAACTCATTCCTCCGAAAATTCCAATAATTGTGTGATACACTTACTTTCATTAAATTTTATTTCTTTACTAAGAGTTTTTTTAACTTCTGTAGTCAAAATCTCTAACTGACTACTATTGTGACGACAGAAGACAAGGGCCGGGCAACAGATATTTATAGATTTTTATGTACATTATTATTCGTTATTGTTAGCAGAGAAGCAGCCTCTTCTGATTGGTTGTTTTCTTGCTGAAGGTTATTCTGTCATCTCTTTGTGGCCCATTTCTTAGAAAGTGAGGCCATATATCTGCGAATCGTATTTGCACACGTTAAGTCTGCTGTGATTGGTTGGTGAGTCTCTCAAGGTTAAGCTTTGTTATTGTTTTTTCTCATCACCCGGATTCAAAACATAAACATTGATGTAAATTGCTGTCTACAATTTTAGCTAGCGGGCAGCTTTTACCACACTATCTTCTACACATATAGATTCACTATTATATGGCTAACAGAGTGCTTTTCATCTCTCTGAACATCAGTACCTTCGTTATACATTTCAAATCACTGTACATAAACTATGAAGATATTTCATGATATTTCAAATTCTAACAGATATTTAATTGTTACAGATCAATATACACAAACACAGTATAACATTTATGCATGAAAATAGAGTTCATTAAATAATATCACACATATTACCTTCTTAGTATCAACAGTTAATGGTGTTTCCCATTTATTTGAAGTATTTATACTATTTGATCGGGCAGCACGAATTTCAGCTTCAACATCTGGTCGTTTATAATTAGTGCCCTATGTTGTTGTTTTTTTTCAGTAACAAAAACAGACAGTTATTACAAAACTAGAATTGCTAAGTTATTTAATTCAAGATTAACATGAAGAAATTTAGTAAAATAGGGGATAAAAAAATGAAAATTTTTTTTTTGATTACAGCTTGATTCCACACCGTATTTTTTGGTACAGGTATGGAATTTTCAGCATGTGATATCGGTAGCCCAAATTTTGCAGGCCGACCATAGATATCAGGTGTGTGACGACAGGGGACCATGTGCATGGTCGGCGAGAGACCTAACCACTGTGCCACCGACGCGTACATTCTCATACTTAGGTTATTTGGTGGATGGAATCCAAGATGCGCATATAGTCGTATTTGGAAATCGACAGCTAGATGTACCTGCAACCCCCAGTGAGTGATGGTGATCCCAGTGAGACTTAAACCCCTCATCATGTAAATCCTCAGATATTGCCGCAAATAACTGATGTTGTAAACAGTTCAGTTCAATATAATTAATCAACGGGAAATATGAATTCAACTTTAACATTCTTCCACTTATTTTGAATATTGTATGTATTAAGCTTTTATGACTTATGTCAATCTACATCTTCTCCCTTCAAGTTGATAACAACTAAACAGAATATTTATAATGATTGGCAATAATAATGGTATTAACATCGACTTCTCTCCATATTAATTTGTTTATTAGATATATCATACAGTGTAACAGTATTATTTACTGGATGACCCTTATAAGATAAGAAATTTGGAAAATAGTTCAGCTATAGCACTACATGCAATTATACACAACTATACAATAGGATGGACGGGATAAGATGACAGTTTTAAAATCTAATGTAACAGGGTGTAGGGAGCGATTGATAACTGAAGCTTTACTAATGAAATCAACTGAAAATACGTGCAATAGGAATGATTCGACACTCGTCCCGGATATACAGAAAATTCTACTACCCCTACGACGAATAGGAAAGAATAAGGAAAACTATAAGACGAAAGTTTCGAAGTTGTGTGGTTATAATTGATATGATTATGAACAGTAATAAATTGTGTTTGAAACCTTGTCATCCAGTAAATAATACTTTTTCACTGTGTGATATATCTAATAAACAAATTATTATGGAATTACATACTACCACAGTGCCCAAGTTTTACACATATATTAATCGACTTCTTTTGTTTAAAGTTAATTCTGTATTTCCCGTCGATTCATTATATTGAAAGGAAATGTTCGGTCTCTAATACCCATTGCACAAGAGTTGACTTTCGTCGCCTAGTGAATAACGCTTTGATATTTGAAACGATGGGTGCTGAATTTAAGTCTCAGTGCGAACACCACCAATCACTGGAGATTTCAGGTAGATTCAGCTAACTGACGAGTTCCAGTTAGGACGAAATTCACATACTGGATTCCACTGCTAGCCACTATCCACCGAATAATATCATCGTCTTTCAGTTCTGCTATCCACATGGTTGTGTCGATGCAGTTTGGAACACTGAATCGATACACTAGACTTAGTAGATTTCATATAATTTTCTCGAAAATGATTAGCACGCAGTGAGTACGATAACAGCGCTTGAGACTTTATTCAACTGAAAACAAAGTTGGTGTGAAGGAATACGAAGAAAATGACAGATTTATGAAACAGCTAACGCGATGTCATTGCCAGCGACGGTGTGAGGACAAATACTCACTGATAAGATCGACTAGCGGTTGCGACATGTATCCCGAATTAGCAGAAGTCAGTATTCATAGATCGTAGGATTACATCCTGGTGGTTGAATGGTCAACGAGCTCGCCTTGTAACCTCAAATTTCAGAGTTTGATCCTTGGTGGGGTCACTGGGTGCGTACTGATGAAGAGTCCATAACAAGGACGGGGCAGTTGTCCAGTACCCCTTTGTATTCGATACTTCTCTAACTGGAGTCAGTTTATGATCAATTTTGTAACAGATAGAGTCTTCAAGGACTGTTGGTCGGTGACCTTGATGCATCGCGAGATCTGGTTTCGATTTTAATCATCTCTTTTTCACTACTTCAATGTTATAATATATGACTCAAATCAAATGTGGAACGACATATGAAAATATTCCTAAACAGTTCTTCACATGTAAATATTTCGCAACATTTTTAATTCACTTATTATTATTATACAGCGGTAGTGAATCCAGAAGTGAGGGAAGGTTCGAAGTGAGAGTGGAGATCTCACCCTGTAAAAACATCACAAGGGTTACTGAAAGTTTAAAGGTTAAAGATTGAAGTCCTCTCTTCCATTTGAAACGGAAAGGAGTGAAGTTGAATAAGTATTATGTAACCAGATTCACTGGAATTGTAAAAAGTATTTCATTTGATAACAGTATTATCTAAGCACAAAATCGATAGAACAAAAATTGTCGACAACTTACAACAGGTTCATCATTATTGAAAATAGATTGATGAGCTTCTTTATATGCTCGAGCTGCTAAAATTTCAGATCTTGGATCTAGTTTTTTATAACATGTCCCCTAAAATTAAAATAAAATAAACAACCAAAAACAAAATAGTTAGAATGATAAAAAATATGTGCATACTTTAATTACAAAAAAAACAACAGTCGATATACACATCTACCAATTGGTTGGTTCTCTTTTTAATTGACATATGGAAAACAGGGGAATTGGAGACAGTAAAACTAATTCACCAGTATGTCAGAAGTAACTTGGTAACATGCAATTTCATTGTAAAAGAAGCCAATTAAATAAATCAACGAACACAAGAAATACAAGCTTACAAAACACCACAAAAACTAGAACGCTAACAAGCCATCAACTGACTGACTAGTTTCAGCATAGAACTTTGCATTAATGTGCAGCAGTTCGAGTCGCCACACTTCCCTTAGGACACAAAGCAAGAGAAGAAAGTAAAAAAAATGCAAAACAGAGACAGTAAACAGAGATATAAGGCAAAAAGAATATTAATATGGAAGAATTATATAGTTTTATTGGGTGTTATAAGTTACAAGGAGTGAATGCATCTGCACTGTCACTGAGAACCATTTTGAGTCATATCACCTATTGTCTCCAGCCGTTGATTTTTTTACCATCCCAAGGAGCCCAACCAGGAAGTCGACACCTTCCTACGTGGCTAAGTTAAACTAACTGTTTTGGATTTGATTGACTGATGCAGTGTTTTGTTTTGACCACCACTAGCTCTTTTCCAACCTGATCCTATGTCAGTCAGCTAACATTGCCTGTTGTCGAGGAAGGCTTTGGCTAGGCATACGTAACACATGTCCTAACCATCTCAATCGATGTAACTTCGCAGCCTCGTCTATCGATTTCCCCTCTTTACCTAGCACTCGACCGATGCCTAACCTCAATATTGCTCACTCGATTATACCACTTCACAAGCCATCAAAAGATACAAAACATTCCTACATATCCATGCATGTAGGCAACTATGAGAAAATGTGAAGATTTTAGAAAGCTGAAATATTAGAATTATCAGAGGCCTTGTACAGACCTAATAATCAGATCAATCTTCACTCAACAGACATGCACATATAATTCATATACACCAAACAAACGTGGGTGAAATTATGAAATCTATTTAACAGCTAAGAGTAGGTTTATCAAATCATCAGTAAAAGATTTTTTTCGAGAAACTTTCATCGATTCACCTATCTCTTAAAAATATGTACAAAAAGCCCTCATCGTTAATATTTACTTATTTTGTTAATAATATCCATGTTCTTTATGCCGAATAAGTTACATAACTGTAATTACTTGTAACATCTCGCAAATCATATCTGGAATACTAAGACGTCTGCCGTTAAAGTGACTATTTTAATTAAAACTAGTGTCTATTTTTGCTTCTCTGATTTGAAATATCAGTGACGATTGAATTGATTTCCCAGGTTAGGGTCGCCAGACCTACTTACGACCTTCTCTGTTTTTCCAGGCAGAGGACTGGCTAATAAACTCTAGCCAGTGCGATTGAGGATTTCAAGGTCAGCCAGGGTCAAAAAGGTCATTACTCTGAAATGGAGATGGATAGAACAGACTCAGAAGGGACCGTTAATTGACGTCGCACGCCAGGCAACCCCTTGAGTAGAACCTCATTTGCAAACGACGAGCTGAGCGTGAGTGGCATGGAAGCGATCATATGCAAAGGAAATGAGAGCTGATGAGCAATTGTGGAGCAAGTGAAAAAAGACTCCAGAAAACAAGGTGAAATGGATATGTGCTAGAGAAACCCTTTGTTTTACTCAGAACCCAAGGGAATAATAATGTGTAATTTAGATTTAGATTTTAATATACAGATTGTTTTAATCTGTTCAGCGGGAAAACAGTAGAGTATAATGATCAATACACCTACTCATCTTATTATTCATTTCTACTCAAGATCATAAAGAAGAAATGTATGGATTAACGTAAATGTAGTTCAGAGAAGAAAATTCTCTTTTCGACGATTTCATTTTCATAGCTGTACAATAGTATATATATATATATATATATATATATATGAATATAATATGATGGAGAGATAGGATGAGTGAAATGTTGTCAAAATAGTAGACTAGATAAAATGCTAGAATATGATAACATAAAGTGAAATAAAATAAAACAGAACAAAAATGCGACATGGAATAAAGAAGGATAACAAAGTTTTTATGTGAATTATACATAGTAAAATCAAGACCACGGTGACGAAAGAGATAGTACAAATCGTTTTTTGTACACAAATCCTCTCCTATACACCAATATTATTATCACATTTCGATAAAGAAAGGAAGACGAAATTTGCAGTATAAAGTGATACCATTCTACTTCACAGGTTCTCATCAGCTGCAGACTACCTGAAATTACAATGGTTATATAGATGATAATAATATGCTTTAATGTTTAAGTGGTAGTAGAGAAGAAATACTATAAAATTGACGCATCCGAAATGTAATCATTACAATTTTTAGTTTAAGTTTTCATCATCAATGTATACACTTTCAAAGTAGAAAAGAGTGAGGAGGGGTAAGACAGAAAACAGAAAAGATTAACAAACAGTGTTAGGCTTCTTCAAGAATTGAAAACATTTATTTCCCGATACGAATTTAAAACAAGCAATAAAAGTTAATAAAGCAGGATTTAATGAATTCATCAAATTTCGGTAGAACTCCATAGTAATACGTTTTACTTATTACTCTAACTCTTATTATTATTATTAATATCATTATTACACTTGATTCATTTAAAACTATCCTTTATCAGTAGGATTATCTTAACCCACTTCAACACTATTATTATTATTGTTATTATAACTGTTACTATTAATATGACTCTGTTTGCAATTTTTGTTATATTATCTAATGACTAATTGTTTATCTAAGTGACGTAATTGAACCGTGATGCATTTTATCTTCATTTTAATCTCTCATACTCCCTCTCCCCTTATCTATTTAAAACATGACCTGGAAAACATTCACACCTGTCTTTCTGCATGACTAATTCAATGTAGTTTACTTATCAGTCTTATATCTCCCAATGTAATTTCAAAAGTATATATATCCGTGTATGTAGAGTATTCAGCTGAAGAGTTCTACCGAAATTTGATGAATTCATTAAATCCTGCTTTATTAACTTTTATTGCTTGTTTTAAAACAGTGTTAGCTTGCAGGTTCACATAGCAACTCAAAAAACAAAAAACAAAAGGGGTTACAGTTTATAAGATTAAGATTTGTTCAGTGAGTTGAGATCACTGAATTAGATGACTAATTATTGTAATCAAAATCAAAATTCAGTTACCAAGAGAGTGAGAGGTTAATCACACTCTCTTTCTGTATGCATAAGTCTGGTTGGTTTGAATCGCTTGATTGCGATCGCTTCAGCAAATCGTAGTAAATTTGCTGTCCTTTGTCTATTTAATATTTTGAAAGGCTTAGAAATCTCTACCAGATTTCCGGTATCAACAATATGTCTGATAATTGCACTCTGAGAATATTTACTTCCTTTCAGGCACAGGTTTCTTGGAATATGTTCAGAAAATCGGATAGATTATTATTATTATTATCATCACACTTTAGTATTTCCACTCCCTGTCAAACTTTAACACACACACACACAAACTGATTGTTATTATCTACTGTAATTCATATGTATGCATACGACGGTACAGCTATAAAAATGAAACGTCGGAGAGAGAATTTTCTTCACTGAATTCTTTGTTTTTATATCTCAATGGAGATTATTAATTTGGTTTAAATGTAGTTATAATTATGTGAGCAGAGAAGACTATTTTCAAAATAGCGATGCACCATATATAATAATTATTCCACAAAGAAAATAACTATATATATATATATATATAAGATGTGGGAGACAAAAGTACAAAGTGACCACTTTCCCTATATACAAGTGATAGATAAGTCAACCTAACTGAATAATGAAACACAAAAGGATTATGCATATATGTTTGAATATACAAACTCCTCCGGCTAAACCGAACAAGAGATTAAATACACGAGCGCACAAAACTTCTTTAAAAAACAAACAAACATATACACCTGTTAACCTCCAAAAGGTTGAAATTTTAAGGGGCGGGGGGGGACACTAAGGGTGGCTGAAATCCATGATATTATTTCTACATTAGAGTACAGGAATTAAGTCACGCAAGGTAGTCTTTTTTTATCCTCCTCTATACTGAATATATAAGAATTTAAAAAAAGAAAGGATGACAAGATGGGAGTTATGTTTTTCTTTCACTTTTTAAAAACCATCGTAGATAATGCATAGTTGACACAAAAAATTCGTATGCAAAAACTATGCATATAAGTGTATCAGAGTAGCACATTTTGACTGATAACCTCCACTACTGTTGAGTTGTGCCACATTTTCAAGCAATCGAAGTAATAAAAGAAAATAAGGCCTTTGTTTTTTTCGGGTTCTATAAATAATAATACCGTGATAAAATAAAGTTTGATTGGAAGTGACCAGCGCTACTTTTTTTTAAATAACCACAAAAGGTAATTCTTAGTAATCAATGAAGTGAATCTATGTCAAAAAAGAAAAGAATAGCTTTCAGAAGACAAAAAATATTTTATTAGAAAAACTATTACTCTCCAATTATTCCATTCTTCTTAAAATACCAATATTCCAAAATAAATCAGCTGAAACGTAAGGCCTTCCGACCAACATGTACAGAGTACTGCGCAGTTAGACTAGGCCAACATGCCACCTAAGCATTTCACAGTTTCCAACACTCTCGATCAAATATAACACCACTTTATTAAAAAATTACTTTTACTGAAATATTTTACGGGTGAAATATCAACAAAATAAAACCCTCACTTCGCTACAATAGGCTGATATGACATGTCATTTACAAGTAGTGATAATTTAATATTTAATAAAAGACACACAGTGATACAGTTCATTTGTGCATCAGTGTTTCAACGGTAGCACGCTCACCAAACACGAACGTGGTCCAGGGTTCGATCCCCGGGTGACAAATTCCTATACCCAGCTACACCGGTAGTGTAAGGTCGGTTAACAGGGAACGTTGGGCATTAGGCTAGCAATCCCACCCCGTAAAAGTAAATACTACTGCTACTAAAAATTCAAAGCTTTAGCTTGAGGCCCTACATTACGCACGGAACAGAAAGGAATAAAGTAAATAATAAGTAGTAGTAATGATACAGTATTACTTATTTATTGATGAGGTTTCGGATACAACTTATTTCACGTAATATCATTACGTCATCGGGCTCACATAATTTTCGGATATTGTCGGAACATGGTTCCATTATCTGTTATCTTCTGATATTACCTGTAATAATATTTTCTGTGTCTCTCTGTGGTACTGCCGTTACGTCATCCTTATTGTACCAACCGATTGCCTGCAACTATACATAAACAGTAGCAGTAGTGTTATTTTTACGGGGTGGGATTGTTAGTCTTAAGCTCAACCTTCAGATTTTGCCAACTTTATCACCTGCAAGAGGAGATTTAGGAGTGAATCGAACTGCAAGTCGAACCCAGTCCACCCGCGTGGATAGAGAGCATTTTACTATTTAATTATATGTATGTATATACTTTTCAGCCCATAATTTGTATCCTTTTAGTAACTTATTAATAGACTGATGAGGCCACTAAGTTCCTGAGTGCACTCTAGCAACTCGAAGACAATGAAGGTGAATGGTTAGGAGACTGATGTATAAGAAGGCATAGAAGGATAACGTTTTTGTCTAATTCCGTTCATCGCATTACATTGAAATGGGATAAAAAATAAACACAACGAATTGGACGAAAAGAACGCGAGTAATAACAGTGAAAATCAAAAAATGAAATGAATTTTAAATATCACCAAATTTCCAAAAGTTAACAAATTCCCTAAATTACTGTATTTCATACGTGTTACTTCTTTGATATATATGTGCATATTCCGTTAATTATTGAACTCTATACATTCACTTACTTAAGGATGCTGCTTTAAACCAACACCACAACCTATCAGACGTTTGATAACTATGTGTTATCCTTATTATCCTACAACACAATTTGTGATCGAAGGTCTTATTTATAAATCTTTACATGGTGACTAGACTGTAATAAATGTACTTGTTTAAGTTAAATCTGTATTCCTGTTGTTTGGTCATATTGGACCGGTCGTTATTTATATGTCCGCTACTGGTAGGGACGCTTCGATATTGCTTGAGGGTTTTCATGATGTTACTTGATGGGTAGCAACTATTCCCAAATAGGACGGAATGTACATTTTGAGTTCATCTGCTGGTCACTATCCACCAAATAACATCTTGTGTTGCATGCATTTTCAGCCGTACGCACAAAGGAAAATTCAATGTAGCAAAATCTACTGCACAGCTGAGTATGATGTAAGTTATTTTAACAGCAAAAGAAAAACAAACCAAGATATACGAGATTAAATTTACAAAAAAAAATTACCACATGATTTGAATCATCTTCATTATCATCTAAAGATGTTGAATTTGACAATTTCCTAGCAAGCATAATTTCTGCGCGTGGATCAACTTTTCGATAACCCGATGTCTATAAAAAACGGATATAAAAGTAAGGATGAATAAATAATCAAAATGCACTCAAGCAGTACCATTTTTATACTTGTAATCAGTTAGACGTATTCAGTGAGCTTTATGAAGCATACACAACAAGGATGAACTTTGTGTCTTACAATCATATCTAAGGTACGACTGTAAATGAGTCATAAGTAATGAATATACAACATACAAAGGTTTTATCTTAGCATTTTATGAAAATGAGTCATTTTAATTAGTCATCTATAATATCTACAAAAATTTTAAAGAAGACGCCTTACTAATGGCTCAAGAATTTTAGATTATCTAGTCTTCTAAATCGTGCGCCTCCGTGGTTCAGAGATAGAATCCCCGCCAACCACGAACCTGCTCCAGGGTTTGATCCCCAGACGACGAACTCCTGGTCGGTGGTAAGCCCGATAAAGAGGAAAGGTTTAGCGTGAGGCTAGGCAAAACACCACTGCTACTGAAACTTTAAAGCTCAAGTTTGAAGCCCAATGTTCCACTCGGAGTGCAAAGCAATAAAAATCAAAAAAGACTTCTAAATTAAGTAGTTTGACTGTCAGAATCAAATGTTTCCACTATTACAATGATTACTCTGAATCAGTAAATGAAAACAACAGTTCTATGATTACTTAGGAAGCCATGTGATGGAAAATATCACGTGAAGTAAGATTATGTAAGAAAAATATGGGGGGTGGTCACAAAACACGGCGCTCAGAAGAATATCTAAGTACACGAACTTCCCGGCTACTTATGACAGTTGGTTAGAGGCAGTGAGTACAGATACAAGCTCCTGCAAAATCTACTTCAACTTAGACGATGCTCACTGAATACGTATATTCACAGATACTGATAATCCGTAAGCTAATAATGTGACCAAGCGAAAGTGTCTACGTCTTTCTGATTCCACTGAGTCACATCATCAGTCGTACAGTAAGATAATATCACCTGCATACCCAATGTACAATGGGCTTCTTCCGAGTGTCAATTCTACAACATCAATAAACACATCCTTCACAACTGCCGTCGGAATGTGTGTCGTAGATGCCAAAATAAAACAGAAATGGTGGAATTGACCGAATCTGCATACAAACAATACTCGTTTGAATCAGTTATCACAGGAAGTTTTATGCCATCACCATGCCCGAGGTGTAAAAAGCTTCCAAGATATTGGTATACGTCTCAGCCGCACACCTCTCTACAAGACAATTCTAAAAGACAGTCCAAAGAACCGAAGGTAGGCTAAATATCAAAGAAATGAAATAACTATTAACTCTCAGTAAAAGTGACAGTGTTTCAGCAATTGTAAGGTGAACATGTGACACAGTCATCCAAAATCTGAAACAACCTGCTCCTCATGAGTTGATATTACCGGTGTTCCACAAAGTTTCAGGAATATGACCGCAGACGCTGTTTCTGACGTGATTGGTAACAAATCAATACCCCAGTAATCGTCGCATGTATTACTCACTTCCTTTATATAGTCACAAAGACCCCCTCATTCCACTGTGTTTGAACGCTCAATCTCCCATATTTTTCCATAAAATTCATTAACCTCTCTAACTGGATTTTCAATGTCTTTAAAATATGTAGAGGATGAGTTGTCTGCGCAAGGTGCCCTTTATTGTTCAGAACTCGGTTAGGTCCTATGCTTCGTTAGATGGATTCAATTTAAATAACAACGGAGCAATATACCTTAGAGCAGAGAATCACACTTTTCCAGGCTAACTTAACTGTTTCGTTTCCTAAACACATTTCTCAGTGACTAATAAGTCCCTGTATATGTTGTTGATTGGCGTGCCATCTGCAATACATAAAATCTCACAGATATAATGATTTATGCTTCTAGTAGCTTGGATGAGCTGCAAAAAATTTTGTTCTTGCTAGATACAGTTGCGCCTCTCATTTTCATCTTTGTTAGCTGCATATAGTAACCTACGTTGATTAACTCAACGAATTACTAGAATATCCAGATTGTAATTATTATTATTCTCTTGGGTTCCGAGTGGAACATAGAGCTTCAACAACACATCTCCACTTTCTTCTATTTTCTGCTGTCCTCTCCAGCTGGGTTCACGATTGCTCATTATCTCTCGTCTCCTCTTCACCACATGTCACCCTCGCGTTTGTTGGTCCACTTGTCGCTTCCCATCGGGATTCCAATAGAGGGCTGGCGTGCAATGTCATTTGACAGCCTCCTCAGTGTATGCCCGATCCATCTCCATTTTATCCTCAAATTTGTTGAGCGATCGGTTATTGGTTGTTTTGTTGCCAGAGTTTCTTCTGCTAATTATTTTTAGCCATTTGATCTTCATTATGCAGCGAAGGCAGATTATCCAGATTACTACATACAAATATGAGTAACATTTTGTTTGAACAGTTTTACAAGAGTGGATTAAGTGTGACAAACTTATCCACACAGATTTTCATTCTTTTCTCACTGAAATGAATCTAACTTAACCCATGTAGTCAACAGTTTGAATAAATAAAATATTCAACTGAAAAAGTAAAAACCTGACTACAGACCAATAAAATGGAGAAAAACGTATATATGCTGCAATACAATTCTTACTACTTAAAAGCAATTTAGTAACTTAACTTTTAAATAGAAAGTAATAATGAAAGTATTTTAAAAATTCAAGATGACTCATCTATGAAGCAAAACGTGTGGAATAATGCCTAAACAGACAAAAACTGGGCAGCGACACAATCAGTGCATATGAAATATAATTAGCTATACACAAACACAACTAAATGAGTCTACTCATTGTATGAGATTACAGAATATGACACACCCAGTCAGTGATGAATGTACTTTATGACTGAATTATTTTTCATTTGAAAGAGTAACAGTCAACAAATACTTATTACTGTTCATATTTATTCACAATAGATACACTTGAAGGAAGGCATCTGGGCTGATAAAGCTCCGCACATTAACATTAATCCTCGAAAGCAGTGCAAAACCAAATACACGAAATGCCATCATCGTAGTAATGTTCCCGTTTAGAAAAGTAATAATTCCCATCTGAGATTACACAAATTTTGCCCACTACTTCAAACTTGTAAAACATACGTTGAAAACGAACTTAATACTTATTTTCATACAATTTTTTATTGCTTGCATCTTAGAGTGGAACTTAGGACTTCAAGCTTCACACCTTGAAGTTTCAGTAGCAGTGGTGTTGATTTTACAGAGTGGGGTCGATAACCTCACTCTTAACCTTCCCTCCTTTCTGGGCTTACTACTGACTAGACAAGGTTTAGGAGTGAATTAACTGGGGAGCATTCCAACCAATGAACCACTGATGGACATTTTTCTGATATAGATAATTATAATTATGATATTGCAGCTAATGAAACCACAAATAACCAAGGTAGGTGATCGACGAAGAAAATGGCACAAACGACAATCCCTTCACTATTCGTACTAAGAAAATCAAATTTGATCAAAGCAATCAACGCGAGAGTCAAGATGCTCTCTATGAAAGCCTATAAAACCCAATAAAAACAATCCAATGAAAACAGAAAATAAGAGGAATTTTCAGCACATAACACCTCAGCTAATTTCTTATTAGGCTTATTCACAATTGATTATTTCAAATAGTTCACAACACCACATGTAAACTAATACTATATTTAGTAAGCTTTTATTACGCCTTAAAAGTAAACAAATCTATATATAATTAGATCAGTAGTAATGATGCATAACAAACTATTATTCTTTGGCATATTTCGCTTATTCAGATTATAAGATGGAGCCAGAAATGGGTGAATTATAAACTACAAATTAGCTAAAGCAATTACTACTGGAAACTGTTACATTATCGATCAGGAATACATGCATGAAGTTATTGTATACGGAAAAACAAGTATAACAAGCTGAACACATAGGCTACATGTATATCAGTCTCATTCCCAAAAAAACACTCCATTCCTTTGTGTTTCGAGTGAAACATAGAGCCTCAAGCTTTCAATTTTTTCAAGTTTCAGTAGAGGTGGCACTTTTTTCACATGGTGGGGTTATTAGTCTCATGCTTAACCTTTATTGTTTTCCGATTTTACTACCGGCTGAGCGACATTTAGGAGTACGTCAGTCGGGAATCAAACCCAGACCTCCCATCTGCATGATAAACATTTTACCACTGAACCCCATACACAATCCTTTTTTAATGAGGCGGTAAAGCGTACACTTCTTATGCTTTCGGCTCAACTTCAAGCTACTTTTGACGAAATAGAAGGAAACCAAACAGAATAAGGAAAAATGACGTTTTTTGAACTCAATTCCCCCAACAGGTCTTTTATGCTACAGGCTATGAGCCACACTTATTGTGTGTGGGCTGGTGACGCTACCCAGTTGCCCAGGCTGAAGTAGATGGAGACAAATAATTGGCTGCTTAAGCCACTAAGCCACATCTTCACGTAAAGTGACTACCTAATAAATGGGACTTATTAAGGATTTGAGAAATTGTAGACCCTATTTACACTTACGTGATCAGGGAATTCTTGAAACACGATCACCTACTTTGCATTTCCTCAATATTTGTGACAATTTACAACGGGAAAACATCAATCTTAGACCAACTAATCAAGCAATTATGGGGTAGAATTTATACTCAACACAATTTTAAGTGCTAAAATGGTCACCAATTTTGTACAAAACTGCACTGAATAATGAATAACTCTTAAACATGAAAACAGATGTTATATAGGTATTTCAGCAAGCTTTTTGAGCCTAGAATTCTGCAGAAGTTCAAACAAAAACAGAACCTCGAGGTTGTACAGCACTTAATTAATTGGTACGGTCAAGCAAATTGGCATATGAAGAAAACCACCCACTTACAACACAAAAACATATTACATTATATTGGCAAACTAGCAGAAACAACCACTGTATTCCAACAAATGTACACCTCAAGATCTGACTGTCCAGACTGTGCAGTATCATAATTTCATACCTAAAAGAAAACAGGTGTCCAGTTTTCTTAAACTATTTCAATTATTCTTTAATTAATTTCATGATGGAAATTTTCTCGAAATTCATCTATTCACCGATCAAGCTTTCCAATCAAAAACTCATCGAATAAATGCTCAAATGTATGCGATACAGAATTTTCAAAACTGATATCACACGTATTAAGCTTTTGTTTCTACTTAACGGAGAATACTAAAATGGAAAGGGATTTCGCAATTGCATAATAAGCAGTAAAATTACTGCAAATCAGTAACAATAAACTGTACGCTTTAAAATACACGATGTTGAAGTAAGAAAAGTGAGTGTTAATCACTCACGAGTAAGTCAAAAGCCGGTGAACGTAAGTCATTACATAGACATTATACAGACAGACATGTGAATGACAGCTAAATTTATACACGACTGTAGCATCACAAATGAACTATGAAAAATTAATAATAATAATATAATAAATTATTATTATTTTTTTAAACAAGTTACTAACCCCATCATTTGATGGTAAATTGGATTCTAAGGCTTTAATTCGACTCTTAATTGTTGTGGTCACTTCATTTTGTGGTATTGGCTTTAGGTTATTTTGAGGTCGATTTACAGGCTGTACGTGATTACTATCATTACCATTATGATTAGCATGATTATTGGTAGTAGTAGTAGTAGTAGTAGTCGTGGTAATATTATTGCTTGAGGCTGGTGCACAAACTGGTCGACCCAAACCAAATGGCTTCTGAAATGATCAGAAATTTTTAAAAAATAAACACTTAAGACTGAGATTAAAAAAAGATACTCAATGAAATTCTACTTAAATAAATGATAATTTTGTTGTATTGTGCTAATATAAAGTCATAAAGTCATATGAAAAAAAAATAATGAAACTGAACCAAGTTTTACTTTTTAAAGAAAACTTTTGTAACACGATGTCGAATAGTCATGGTGTAACAACAGAAGACAAGGGTCAGGCAATAGATCGTTTATTAAGGAAAATCAACACATATTTATAGATTTTAATGTACATTAATGTAGATTATTGTTAGTAGACAATGCAGTCTTTTGATTGGTTGTTTCTCACAGAAAGTTAACCTTGCATCTCTTTGTGGCTGTGTCAGATCATCCATATGCTAACTGTATCCGTCTACGCAAAGCCTTTGTTCTCATTTTCTCACCACTAATATTGGGAACATAAACATTGACGTCAATTACTGCCTACCAACTTTGGCTAGCAGCCAGCTCTCACCACAATGGCATACAAATAAAAATGGCATTAGAATAGCTAAATTTATTCAGCCATCAAGGAAATACTAGCTGTTGAATTTAGGCGAACATCAGTATACGTGAGCCTAAACAGTTTTTCCGGAGAATGTATACTGTGTCATTCTTCGACTATGCTTGAAGATGATTGATCATCAAATCTCCATCATCTTCTTGGTAGTTTGATTAGTTTCAATCAACGGGGTATAACTGAACTAATAATTGTAAATTATTTTTCTTCCAATCGAATAGACTGAAACGAATGTATCGAAGAGGATAAAGGCTAGATTGGACTATCGATCAATGAACTTCAAACTTGATGCGTTATAAATTCTCATGAGAAATAACATAGGATCTCTTTACATGCAGTTGGTCTGTTGAAAGCTCCCTGGTCATCAACAAACACAGAACAAACTGTAACTTTATGTAGACAAACAATTCAAGAAGTAGAAGTTAGCTGAATAAGCATCAGCATTTTTCACAACCCTGACTAAAGTCCTAGGACTGTCCATAACAGTAAATTACTTAGTGCGGGTACAGCTGACCACAGATGTCCACTACTTCAACCTCGTAGAATGTTTTCAACACTATATAAGTTTTGTCTGGTCAGTAAAAAATTTCTGTTGTCACTTATTTTTAAAAACTTAATTACTCCACAGGCGTTGGGTGGCTGGCTTAGCTATAGAATGCTCGCAAACCAGGCACGTGGTTCATGGTTCGATCCCCGGCCGACGCACTCCTTTACCTCACTAAGCCGGTAATAAGACAGGTAAAGAGGGAAGGTTGGGCATGAGGCCATCAGCAACTCCACCCCATAAAAATAAACACCACTGCTACCGAAATTTCAAGCCTCTCGCTTGAAGTCGTATGTTCCAATAGGAACGTAAAGGAATAAAATAAAAATAAACAGCAACACCAAAACTGTAAACACCTAAAATGTTATCTCTTAAATCACTTACATAGCATAGCCTTATTTGTTATGCTATGAGACACTTAATGAGGACGTATTATATTACCCTTTTGAAGAAGGTCGATTTGGTATGAGACGATTCTCTGCATCGGGAATATTTCACATATTATTTCCATATTCCATACGAATACACTAGAATGGAACAAGATAGTCTCAAAATATAACGTAACACGTGCAGTAGGAATAACCCAACTGTCCACGTGGACATCTAGAAAATTCTACTACCCCTACAACAAATTAGGAGGCAAAAAAGGATACCTATGTAGTCACAATTAATATAATTATGAACAGCAATAAATTGTGTTCGAAACCTTGTCATCCAGTCAATAATACTGTTTCACTATGATTTATCCAATACAGAAATTAATAAAGAGTAACACGCTACCATAATGATCAAGTTTTACACATAGACTGAGGTGAGTTAAAGCCCGAAATTTAGGTACTTAAAAGAGTATACACTATAACCCCATTACACTTATTTACAAAACAATTGATACTACCGTTTCAGAATTTCGTGTATTGCAATAACAACAATGCAAATGTAAATAAATACTGTAATAATACGCAATATGTGTTTAGACTGTTAAATTATCATCGTATACACATCTCGTTGGCGCCAGGAAAAAAAACCAAGAGCGATTCCCATATAATAATACAATACAATACAATTGTTCAATACAACTTTTTGATTAAATATACAAGGATGGGAAGCAAAATAAAAACAGCAGCGAAAAGAATATGAACGGATACAACGTGTTTATACAATTTCAGACTTTTTCAACAGAACAATGTTACCATTCAATATACACGTAAGTAAACTAAACATGGTTATGCAATGGTGTATCAAATGAATTTACTGCATAAAATAAGGGTAGAAAATAGAAAAAAGTAGGAATATAAAGAACGTATGAATATATATTTCATAATGCTTGATTAATTCTTCAACTACTGATTACGAATGTTTGCAGGATACGACGTGCTCCTTGTATTTCGCTGAGTCTTGTCAAATACAAACATTTTCAAGAGTTGGTTTGTAAGGATTAGATTTGTTTGACCACGGATTGATATCAGTTAGAGAACCATTGAAAACCAGCCAGGGAGTACTAGACAGCTGTTTCATCCTAGCTTGGGAATCATCGGCAGTACGCACCTACCACCAGGGTTCGAACCCAGGACCTTCCGGTTACAAGGTAAGCTCGTATACCATTCAGCCACTGGGACCCGATTCAATGGCCAGCCCATGAGTTCTAACTAGGATGAAACAGCTGTCCAGTGGTTTTCAATGGTTCTCTAAATGATAACAATCCGTGATCAACTCGAAAAAACAAATCTAATCCTTACAAACCAGCTATTGAAAATTAATCTGATGCTCGCTGGTGACTTGCTACAGGACGGAATTTCCTGGAGTTCTAGTGAGAAGTCATGACCAGTGAGATCCACCCAGTCAAGCGTGAAGACGGATGTCCCACCGATGACATTGGTGGATGGTCACACTCAATCACGAATTGGTAGAAGTTAGAATTCACGGGCTGGACATTGAATCGGGTCCTAGTGGCTGAATGAAATACGAGCCAGCTTGCCTTATAACCGGAAAGTCCTGGGTTCGAACCCTGGCAGCGGGTGCGTACTGCCGATGATTCCCAAGCTAGAATGAAACAGCTGTCCATTACTCCCTACTGGTTTTCAACAGTTCTAACTGATATCACTCCATGGTCAAACTCGTAAAAACAAATACAAATATCCTACACAATATCAAAATATAACTTACAAAACGTCTGAACATACTTTATTCACAGTGACGTCCAGTTATTGTTTGGGGATGTATAAGCAACTTAACTCCCATATGGTGTAAGTAGACAAATTATTCCTTGTTAAAATAGGTTAACTACTTACAGTGTAATTAGACAAGGAGAGAGAGGAGCAGAGTTTATGTTTTGCATAGAAACAAGGATTGACTAGGGACAGAATACAAAATACAAACAACAGAATAAACTTATACATAATATGATGGAAAGTTTAAAAGAGTGGGAGTGAAAAGTAGGAGTCAAATTGTAACATAGACAATAAAATAAATTGAGTAAATTTCGAAACTTAATAGTGAGTTCAGCTCAGTGAGTGAATATCAAAATTAAGTGAAAGGCTACGCAACAGAACCAGACACAAAATGTATAAATTCATTCTGTTGTTTCAATTTTGTATTCTGTCTCTAGCCTGTCCTTGTTTCTATGCAAAACATGAACCCAACTCCTCTCTCTCTCCTTGTCTAATTACACTGTTGGACAAAGCTTTTTTTTAAAACAAGAGATGTCCTTTTCATATATTTATAAACCTCTATTATGTTAGTATTTAATTGGTGGATGGTGACTAGCAGTGGAATCCAGGATGCGCATTTCGTCCTATTAGGGACTCGTAAACTGGATGTACTTGCATTTCTCAGTGAATGATGAGAAATGCAGGTACATCCAGCTTACGAGTCCCTAATAGGACGAAATGTGCATCCTGGATTCCACTGCTAGTCACCATCCACAATTAAATACTAATTAAATGCCCAGACATCGTCGAAGCATCTGCTTAAGAAGCCGACATGTCAACCTGAGACCGAGCACTTCGGTCCAATCAATCGACGGGAAAATCCAAAATTCAATTAAACTCTATTATGTTAATTTCGATTAATTTTCATAAAATAGTTTAGACCAGTTCGCCGAACGAAACATTGGAATTACTCATTTCTATTACCGCTGAGATTTTACAAATATAATTTTTACAAATGTCTATCTACTTCTCACTCGGTGCCCAATTATTTTGTAACTATTCGGTTAAATCTTGATCACAGTTCATATGAACTAAACTGTAAATAGTTCACCGTTTTTGTCTACTTACACCATATGGGAGTTAAGTTGCTTACACTTCCCCTATCAATAACTCGATGTCACTGTGATAAAAGTATGTTCAGACGTTTTGTAAGTTATATTTTGATATTGTGTAGGATGTGTGTAGTTGACATGAATCCGCGAAATAAAACGAGCACAAATTATCCTGTAAATATGTTTATTCTCTTTTTGTTCAAACTAATCAAGGGAACAGGTTGTAATAAATTACTAAACTATATTTTATAGTTTCTCTATAGGTTTTGACCTACACTTCAGAGGTCAAAAGGATGGATGTGTTCTTTGATTCAATGATGCTTGTGTTGTATCTGAATTGATCTTATCCCAGAATAGATAGTATAAGATGATAGTTTGGTGTGTGTGTGTGTGTGTGTGAAACACATCTCCAAAACTTTCATTAGGATAGTTAATAAAACCTAGCTGCTGACTTACACTCTCCTTGACCAAAATGTTAAACTTAACCAAATTGTTACAAATCCAATGGTGACGCAAACAGTATGAATGCAGTATAACAAACAAAATTTTGATTAGAATAAATGTGTTTGGATAGTAATTAGTATAGTTACAAGTAACATTTATTAACAACTCTGTATGTGTACTTCGAACGCATGGATTAAACAG